CGGCCCGCCGCTATTCTCACCCACTCCGTTCCGCCACTATTCTCAACCACTCCGTACCGCCCCCCTCCGCTATTCTCACCCACTCCGTGCCGCCACCGTCCCGTCGCTACTCTCACCCTTTGATTCTTTTTGCTGTCTTATGTCTGAAACCCAATAAACTTCTATTATTTGTTTCTTTTTAAAGTATAACATTTTATTGTACAATTTGTATCTTTTTCAGAGAACAGAATCAATGAATTAAAAAAAAGATACAAAATGAAAGTTTAGATCGACAGAAATAAACAAATACAAAATCAGCAGGAAAATACCAGTCATGGGGGGAAGGGGAAGAAGGAGTGAAATACGGCTGATTAGGATAAACGTAGAGATCATAAAAGGTTAAACTTCAACAAATTGAACTAAAAAACATTTTTTTTAAACTTGTCTGGCACTTTAACTGACATTGTAGCAGATGGAAGCTCATCCCGTTGATCTGCAGATCTGAATTAATTTCATGAAAATAAAAAACATTGGTCAGGTGTTTCAGTCGGTGTGAGTTCTCTGATGTCTCATTGGAGGTCCTTTTATAACAAAACATGTCCCGCACTCTATACATGGATAAGGACGCTCACCTGTGTGACTTCCCTGGTGTACAATAAGCTCTCCTTTTTAAATGTATCATTTCCCACACTATGAACATGAATTATGACACTCGTCCGTATGACTTACAAAAAAGTGTCTTTTGATAAAAACATTTCTCGTCCTCTAAACATTAATATGGAAGCTCACCCGTGTGGGTTCTCTGGCGTTCAAGATAGGTACCTTTGATTGGAAAAAGTTTCCCGCACTCCAAACATGAATACGGATATTCAGCCGTGAGAGTTTTATGGTGACTAAGAGGGATTTTCTCTATCAGCATAACTTTTGTCACATTCTGAACATTAAAAAGGATGCTCACCCGTGTGAATTATTTGGTGTGAAAGACGGGGTCTTGTATCAGAAAAACTTTTCCCGCACTCTATACATGAATTACAAACGCTCACATGTGTGAATTCTCTGGTGCCTAAGAAGGGACCCTTTCTCAATATAACTTTTCCCGCACTCTAAACATGAATACGGACGCTCACCTGTGTGAATCCTCTGGTGACAAAGAAGAGTTCTGTTGTCAGTAAAACGTTTCCCACATTCTGAACATGAATATGGACGCTCACCTGTGTGAAATCTCTGGTGTCTTACAAGATGTCCATTCATTGCAAAACTTTTCCCACACTCTGCACATGAATACGGACGCTCACCTGTGTGAATTTTCTGGTGACGAACAAGAGTTCCTTTGGTAGCAAAACTTCTCCCGCACTCTGAACATGCATAAGGATGCTCACCTGTGTGAATTATCTGGTGTCTAAGGAGGTTTGTTTTAGCAGTGAAACTTTCCCCGCACTCTGAACAGGAGTAAGAATTCTCACCCTTGTGACTTTTCTGGTGTTTAAGAAGCTCCATTTCCTCAGTGAAAGCTTTCCCGCACACTGGACATGAAAAGGTCACACGGTTCTGGGTTTTGAGATGTAGAATAAGTTCAGATTTCATCTTAAAGTCTTTCCCGAACCCCAAACATGACAATGACCTCTCTCCTGTGTGATCTCCTTCATGGCTGATAGAAGATTCCTCGGGGATAGTTGGATCTGTAGACGGATCTTCATGCACCATGATGGGTGATGTCCTTTGAGGACGGCTAGTGAGTGCTATTGGCTCACCGGATATTTTCCTCACTACTTTATGATCCTGTGTAGAGATACATGTGCAGTCAGCTTTGTTTCTCATTACAATAATAGGAGTGATGGCCGGCAACATTCCCAGAATCCTCCTCACCTCTCCGGTCAGCAGGTAGATGATCTCCAGGGTGAGGTCTAGTATCCTCTCAGTCATGTGATTCCGGTGCTTCTCCATGTTAACTGATGTGGTCATGTGATCTATACCGGACTCTCCTCTCTGAGATGGATAAGAACATGAGAATGATCTGGACTGTCCCGGGATGAATAATATCTATTTGGAGACAATACCCTGAAAACTTTGACCCTCATCAATACACCCAGACACATAATATTCCTTTATGTTTAGTATTAGTTGATGCCGAGAGGGCGTTTGACCGCCTAGATTGGTCTTTTATCCAGAGCACCGTACAGAATATAGGGATTCCGCAGTCCTTACTGCTTAAGACCTTGGCTTTATATCCCGGATCCTCGCTGTTATTATCCAGCGAGGATCCGGGTCAACGGGATTCTGTCTGACCCACTCGAAATCTGCAATGGCACTCTCCGGGGTTGCCCGCTTTCTGTTTTATGTGGTAATAATGACAGTATAAGCCGTTAGTGTACAGAAGTCATGTTCTTAGAAGAGAACCCACAGAACAGGAACAGGAAACGCATCACAGGAAACAAGTGCCACAGAGATGAATCATAGAGTTGCATATAAACTAAACATAACACTCATAACATCTCCCTCTTAATAAAAGATCATTGTGAAATGTGGATGAATCCTTGTAATAACATATTTACAGGTTAAGTCTTTTGGGTGGTTGTGAATGTCTACCACTGCGGGTGAAAACTGGCCCTCGTTGTATAAAGTGTTTCTTAGCCCTCTCCGAGGTTACTGGGCTCTTCTCACCACTTACTGGCATGCTCTGCTCTTCACTCCCGTCCGATATACCTGCTTGCTCCGGACTGTCATTAACATTAGTCTGTGGCATCATCACTGTACATTCCCTACCACCAATTGGTGAGTCTGCCCTTGCATTACCAGGCGAGTCTGGCCTGTCAACTGGATAATGTGAATCAGGCTTTTCAGCCACACGCAGATCCACACGATTGCGACCATAGAGAGTTCCATCAATGTCCACAAGATAGGAGCGTGGTGCAACCTTTCGCAGGCAAGTACCCATTCTCCAACGACTTGTTCGATCTCCAGACAGCGGTTTCATACGGATGCGTTCCCCAATATTCAATTCAGGCAAATCTCTTGCCGATGTACCCACTCCGTGCCGACGCCCCTCCTCTATTCTCACCCACTCGGAGCATACGCCCCTCCTCTATTCTCACCCACTCCGTGCCGACGTCCTGCCTCTATTCTCACCCACCCCGTGCCGACGCCCCTCCTCTATTCTCACCCACCCCGTGCCGACGTCCCGCCTATATTCTCACCCACTCTGTGCCGACGCCCCACCTCTATTCTCACCCAC